CTTCTAATATCACAGATCTGTCTGTGACTATAGCCTGATCGACATTACAATCTTCTAATATCACAGATCTGTCTGTGACTATAGTCTGATTATCATTACATTCTTCTAATATCACATATCTGTCTGTGACTATAGCCTGATCGACATTACATTCACCTAACCTCATCAGTAAGCTAGTCAATCGTCAGTGTTTAACACCGTTTTGATATTCAATTATTGCACATTCTGGCTCATCAAATCCTGTCTACATATGACAGAAGAACTTGTTATCAGAATAGTCCCTCAGTAGATCTTGTGTCTCAATGTTATATGAGACACTTCTAGACAGGCATAAGGGTGGCTTGCTTCATAGGTCACCACACAGTTTGAGTTAAGCAGAGTAATGCAAGACGGTTGTGTCAATCTTAAATGATTGAATATTTTGTAATTTGGCAGTATGCGGTAATCTGAGACAAAATGTTGTTATACGTTATAATTTTACTTTCAGTTCATCAAAAGTAAGGTTTAAATAGTTAGAAGATCTGTCACTAGACAATTATCTTATATACTTCAGAAAAAGAATTTTATCTAGAATCCATACACAACAAAGAGTTCATTGTGGACCTCAGACAGATAACATATTTATTACTCAACCTACTAAAGTGTTTTCGGTATGATCCGAGCTTGCATTTAAACATTCTGCTAACAACAGAATACAAAAATACTTGTGTGCGCAAACACAATTGGCAACACAAAACTTTCATAGCTAAACCAATTGGTGACACAGAATTCTTCCTTGATGTGAGCCCTGCTACAACTCATGATAACGAGCCATTGGTCCCTATCCTTGGAATGAACTGTTACAATTGCCATAGAATTACAATACTGTAGACCCTATTAACCTCATCCATAATGGTTGTCTGTATTTTTGTATATATCTAACGAGTCTGTATATTTTTCTATCTGTCTGTAGAATATGTGAGGCACTTTTCCACATGATGTATGCTTTGTTTTCTCCAACTCTCTCTTCAGGGCCACAAGCATTTCATATTTTAGATCCGAGCCAAACTGGTGCTACAAAATAGGAAAGGACAAAGATAAGACAACTTACATCGAGCGGTTCACAAATCCTGGATTTTTATTAGCCAGGATCAGGAACATATTAAAAGTTGCAGCAAATACATTTTAATAAGCATTGCATTTAATTGATTTTCTTGCTTACTTTCACATTACATTATGATCTTTGTAGATGAAGATGAAGTAGATGAAGTCATAAGTTAATCGCTTTTAAGATTCAAAACGACCATCTCTCATCTCTCCTATTTAGACATGAGAATTTCCCAACATCGCTCTGTCAAAATTTTCATAACCAATTACTTCTGAATTTTAAAATAGTAAATGACCCCCAACAGACAAAAAAGAACAGCTAAATGAGTACATTCACAGCACTCTGACTTATGAGATTTTGTCTTTGAGTTGTCCACATGCTGAACTTATGTTTTGATGACTATGTATGATTTCTTTCTAAATCGAATGAAAATCCAGTTTTATATCTACCTAGATTTTCAGGCCATTTAGTCTCCGCTGATTATACAGATCTGTGGTAGCCTATGGACTGACATTTCAGACCTTCACAGAAAAGACAAAGGATGTGTATCCTGTGGACCCCATTTATTTTCAACATTTAGCTGACATTTAAGACCTACCCTGACAAAAGTGTCGTAGGTGGCTTTGAAGGCTGGTTGTTTATCGTTGTGCATCACCCGTCTGTTGCCGTGGAGAACACTAGCCCCGTCTCTGTCGCCACCTTTGCACACGCTCATGTACATGCAGTGATCAGGCCGATAATTCCACTCACACGGGTAAACATATAGCTGTTCTGTCAACGAGAGAAAATAAATCAATGACATTTGATGGAGATGCCTATTGAAGTTTTGGTTTGTTTTGTTTGTTTTTTACGTCCTATTAACAGCTAAGGTCATTTAAGGACGTGCCAGGTTTTGGTGGTGGAGGAAAGCAAAAGTCTGGAGAAAAACCGCTAACCAACGGCCAGTACATGGTTAATGGCTAGTGGTAGCAGAATGTCAGACGCCTTAACCACTTGCCCACCGCGGTCAAGGGCCTATTTTTTTCAGTGAACTGTGTACATATGATGGATCTGTGATACTATAAACATATTTATTGAAGGACAATGGATCATATTACATTTTTATTTATTATCTAACTGTTTTTTGGACTGGTCTTATCTTGTTGCCAACATGTGTCTTTAACTAAAATCAAAAGGAAATCAGGGGCTGCTGTGTTTTTTCCCTTACTATGGGCATTTGGAAACAGGCTTTTCTGATTCTGGATTTCTGACGGGAAAATATATTGGAATATTTTGCGAAAAAAACATCTAAGGAAATTAATGTTCCCGGTATATAGGATATTTTGATAAATGTGTTTTGGACTTAACTGATTACCTGTGATTTAAAGCATACACAACATGATGCTTTCACCCCTAACATCATAAACTCCCCCTATCCTTTTCCTGGTCTGAACGTCTCATCTCAACATGACTTCCGTGAACAAATTTATTTTTTTGGCTTTTTGAGAATTTTGGAAGGTTCCTGTTGAACAACTGTTATCAACCTACCAGGATAGTAGTAAAAGTAGATGTTGATGAGGTCCTGGTCTCCCCAGGTGATTTTGAGTTTGTACTCCTTGTAATACTCCTTTAGAGACCTCAGCCACTGGGATTGACGTATCCGTGTCAGGTTCATCAGCATCACTCCTGAGTTCACACCTGGACAAGGAACAAATTAATGAGAACATACAACATCAACTACCTGATAATTTTCACAAAATTTACATTTTTTTTACATTCCTCTAGATATTTTCCTACTTGTAAAAATTCAAATGTCCATCCCCCATTTTCCAGTTTGATTGCTCTGTGGTTTAGGGATTAGCTGTCAAATATAATGAATGTTGTGAATGTCAGAAACATGTAGATTTTGAAAACAATGCACTATTACACTGGATATATATATATACATGTAGGGAACATTTTACCTGGTTATGTTGGGAATTATCAGTTAGATTAGTTAAAAGAAATTGACAGCAAATGGAAGCAGTTAGCTATAAAACCACCATTCTATTTGTTAAGGAGGTAATATATTCTTAAGCGCTTCTTGTTATAAAGAAAGAATGTAAAAAAAAGTAGGGAATGAAATTACTGGAATATATTTCTTATCAAATTAAGAATGGGGCCAAATTTCAAACATGTGAAAAACTGTGAATATTACAGCTTTTATTGCCACTGTCCCGAGCCCTTGCATCCTCTAATATGCTGGAATTTTCAGTGGAAGACAAGAGCCTCATCATTGAGTTATACACATTCAAGGTTTTATGAAGAGTGTAATGCATACTTTCCAGGGCACTTCTTCTCGTTAATCTTTGGTGTGACGACTTTAATTATGATAATTACCTAGTTCTCCATAAAAGGGATGTCTGGCAAATCGATGGTACCAGCTTGACTGGCTATCTTCATGTTCCGGGGACAGAGCTACGAGCTGTGTACTGTTAAACTTCTTCAGGAAAGCCCAGATATCCTCCAGAGGTCGGACGAACAGGATGTCAGTGTCGACATATAGCAACGCATCTACGTCTGGCAACAGACTCTGCAAGATGAAACCGAGATATTACCAACCTGGGAACTGAAGACCCCAAAGTCAGCTATTGGTCTTTTGGCAGTAACGTTGGTCTTGAATACCATGTTTACATGTATGTCAATGTCATTTTTGTTTGGTCCTCTGTAAGTTTTACTGCCAAGTACATTAACCTTCAGCTCAGCTGTCTTCAATATTATATGTACATGTCACACACACAGTTCACTACCGCCAAGCCCATTGGCCAGCTGATACAGGATTAATTGAGAGCATTTGACTTTAAGTGTACTGGTAAGTATTGGTTTTAAAATCCTGGTTTCAGAGAAAAATAACAGCTGGACCTCTAAACAGATTCTGTATAGATATGCTGATCTTGTTTATGTCTTAATCGAGACAGTGAGGCTGAAACCATGTGACTCAAGTAAGCTAGGATTGGAGAGATACAATCAGTCCTGGACTCATTGAAACACAGATATCAGTCCTGGACTCATTGAAACAGATATCAGTCCTGGACTCATTGAAACACAGATATCAGTCCTAGGCCTGGACTCATTGAAACACAGATATCAGTCCTGGGCTCATTGAAACACAGATATCAGTCCTGGACTCTTTGAAACACAGATATCAGTCCTGGACTCATTGAAACACAGATATCAGTCCTTGACTCATTGAAACACAGATATCAGTCCTGGACTCATTGAAACGCAGATATCAGTCCTAGGCCTGGACTCATTGAAACACAGATATCAGTCCTAGGCCTGGACTCATTGAAACACAGATATCAGTCTTGGACTCATTGAAACACAGATATCAGTCCTGGCCTCATTGAAACACAGATATCAGTCCTGGTCTCATTGAAACACAGATATCAGTCCTGGACTCGTTGAAACACAGATATCAGTCCTGGACTCATTTAAACACAGATATCAGTCCTGGACTTGTTGAAACACAGATATCAGTCCTGGACTCGTTGAAACACAGATATCAGTCCTGGACTCATTGAAACACAGATATCAGTCCTGGACTCCTTGAAACACAGACATCAGTCCTGGACTCATTGAAACACAGATATAAGTCCTGGACTCATTGAAACAAAGATATCAGTCCTGTACTCGTTGAAACACTGATATCAGTCCTGGACTTGTTGAAACACAGATATCAGTCCCGGACTCTTTGAAACACAGATATCAGTCCTGGACTCATTAAAACACAGATATCAGTCCTGGACTCATTGAAACACAGATATCAGTCCTGGAGTCATTAAAACACAGATATCAGTCCCGGACTCTTTGAAACACAGATATAAGTCCTGGACTCATTAAAACACAGATATAAGTCCTGGACTCATGCATTTCCTGTGGAGCTCACCAAAGTCACAATAAGCTAGAAGAAAGATAACTCTGTCACTCTGTCAATGACTTTCTGAGTGCTTTTATCAAGTATTGCAGCTTTTTTGTATGTAAAAGTAGAAAAGAAACCCAATCTATCCCTGGGAATATGGTATAGATTAACATGTAATAGAATTTTCCCTGTTGACTAGGATACATATAATGCAATGTTGACACTTCATGGTCGACGTGACAATAATGCATTGTTTACGTGGTGTTATACAAGTGTTATGACTGGGGAATCTCTTTGTCTTAACCCTAGGATGAGACAGGCAAATCTCTGAACGGGAAATGTGTGGATATACCAGTCTAGGGTAAAGAAGGGTAATTAAAACCCTAGCCCTGGGAGGAAACATTGAAGAAAACCCTCGATAAACCTCTGGGTTTTTTTATAGTTCATATCTAGGATTTTAATCACTTTATCACAGGGAAAGATTCCATGATTCTAATGTATATTCCACTTATCTCATGTATTTATACTTCTGAATATTATTTGAGTATTTTTTCAAAAAGCTAAAACAAGTCCCTGATCATGAGCAGTCATTATGGAACGTGTGACTGTATTTTTTTCACTTACAGGTAGGAAAAGTCGTTGTGATGCGCATGGTTTGAAAAGTTTTTTCCACTCATCTGCTGGGAAACTGAGGTTATAGATGTGGTACTCCACCTTTGTCCTGTACTCGTCTGGCCAAAACTCTATCTGTAACACACAATGTACACTGTGTATTTCATGTTTTCTTTACCTTTTTAATTCATGGCTGCCATTCATATCATTTTTAGTGCCATTCTCCTCCAAATGTTTCTATCATTTTTTTCTGTATTCAAGAACAGATTAATGTTTTGTTGGCATTATTTAAGGATATTTACTACCTGATGTAAAATACATGAAATTCATACATGTGATTGAATTATCTCCCTTGATTTCTAAAAACTACTATCAATTTATCACCCCATAACTCAAAATGCACATGATTCTTGTCAATGCATGTATTTTTGTATAAATTTCAAATTAATCAGTCATTTAGCCAAGTAGACAACTTTGATGTTAAAGAGTTAGAGGTAATTCTGTAGTTAAAATTGTACAAATGCATACCTGCTAACCCCTGAATCTCCCAATGGGGGAACATGACTCCCATGGGAAATTCTGTGGGGGGTGATAACGCGCGATTTTTTTAAAAAAAAAATCATTTAATTTTTAAGCTGTCATGACATAATATACAATTATGGACTTTTGTGCTGGTGAATATGATGTGATATAAGCCTGAAAGAGTGATATTGACTGAGGCGAAGCCGAGTTCAATATCACTCTTTCAGGTTCATATCACATCATATTTACCAGCACAAAAGCCCATAACTGTTTTATTATATGCTTCAACAATAAAAAAAACAAAAAAAAACTAAAGTTCTGATTTTTGTACGCGAGCCTCCGTGTAAAATTTAGCCATGTTTGAATACAACAGTTTATCATTGTAGCTTTCGAAGGCATCGTCTAGATTCTTTTTCTTAAGGTAAGCAAGGAGGACATGCACTGCGTGTTCAATGGCCTTTTTTACGCTAACAGCATCTTTATCCTCGAAAAGTTTTGGTAATTTTCCAAACGGAGGAGAAACGTTCGCCAGCAGTAATCTTCTAATGTCGTCCGACATATCGCGTTCCAGTCTAACTGCGTATGTGCCACCACAGGTTGCGGTGAATTTCCATACAGGCTATATTTAGAAATCGATATTCACCGGATGACCAGTCTACATGAGTTTTTGAGGACTGGTCACGTGTATAGGATCCGACCAATGTGATTGCGAGAAATGTTCATGCATATAATAACATATGTTGTGTCTTCTGGTAGGATTTAGGATTTTTTTAAATAAATAGAACAAGTCTTTTCACACATTTTGTTTTATTTCAATGGAACACTTTCGGAAATAGGGAGAAACTAATATGAGCGCGGCGGCGAGTGATAGGTGATAGGTTTATTTTGCTGGTGTCACTTAGCAGGTATGCAAATGTGTTTATGATAGGAAATTTTAATGAATATTTACAAAAGTACCTGTCTTTTAAAGTAATCCTGCAGTTGTAATTCAGCAAATATGTGGAAGACAAGCGGTGTTTTTGTAAAGAGGACAGCAGACTTCAGGAGGATAATGGATTCCTTATCACGGTCTCCACATGCAACTAAAGACAGATGTATTCCATTTCTCCATGCCTCACTCCTGTAGAACATCAAAATGGAATAGATCAAGTATTGAATCATTCAGAACACATGACTGGATTATCAAGATTTATATTCCGCTAGCTACCTATTGTTGAGTTCAAAAAAAAGTAAAAGTATATTGAATTAACTGTTAAACTAAACATTGCTTTTTGCTTCACTCTAACGTACAGTGCTACAATTTCAGATACAACAAATAATAGCATTCAAAGTGTATTAAATTTCAGTGAACTTCAACTCAACCAATTAACTATACACAAATAGCAACTGGTTGAGTAGAATAACATGTGACTAGACATTTCATTTCAATGCGATATATGCAAAACATAATTTAAAATGATATGGAAATTATTTCATTATTTAAAACTTATTGAAAATATTGAATACCGTAAAATGTACCCTTTAGGTGCCTTCCATATATATGTTTTTGCAGGTTACATCTTAAGCACACAATATTTGTTCAGACCAGTCAATTTCAAAATATTGTTACCTGTATGATTTATCATCAGTATTGACAACATGACCTTGACTGTCAGGTTCTTTGCTTAAGTGTAAAGGGTCACTCTTGATCTCTTGTTGACCAGTCTGGTGGTCTGAGGTCTCTTGTTGACCAGTCTGGTGGTCTGGGATCACTTGGGGTTCCTTGTTGCTGTTATTTTCATTTTGGAGAGCGAAGAACAGGTACACTGCCACGATGACCACTACAGAGAGGCCCAGTTTAAATAACATTTTCCACTTCATGTGTAGTTACCAAGGTATGTCATTGCTGAAAAAAATAATAGAGAACTTTATATACATCAGGTTGGGAGAACTATCTATTGTTTGCATGATTGCACAATGGCAATTATAGCCTCCCAAAAGAGACAAAAATATCTCAGAAAAAAAAAGAAAAAAAAATACAATTTTTTAAAAACTCATTTAAAAATTCATTAAAGAAAAGAACATGTACAAATGATCAGATAAAGGCAGATTGTAACTGAGGTTGGTTTATGTACACTTTAAATTTATTATCTAATTTGTTCCTAATTTTGAGGATACATCATGATCAGTAGTTGTGACCATGAATATTACCAATCCCACAATTCGTAAAGAAATTTACTTAAAGGATATAGCTTAGTACAATAAACCATGCATGAGAGTTCATATTCATACTTTACTTCAGAAATTATCCAACAGAACTAGATGAATTCCATTCCACTAGATCTCTGGTTTTCTGACAGAATTTTTTCACTTGAAATCAAAACATCTTGAATTGTATCTTAGTTTCCCATTCACCAAAAAAGGGACACTTTGAATTCTTTCTTCATATGTATAGTTTTTCATCACCCTCCTGTTGATGTCTGTTGCAAGTAAATAGATCGGTTCCAATTAATTAATATGGAAGGCCTCTTTGCAAGCCACAGCGTAATGTCTGGTAAATCTGCAGTTTCATCAAATGTTATTATGCTACAATAAATCATAGTGCCTAATGATTGAAAACCAAGTATGTTACTGATGGAATGTAGCTTCTGTTGGTGATAATAAGGGCGGTTTTGGATCAATAAATAGAGTATAACCCATTTATCGATATATGTGAGGTACATTGTATGTGCTGTGTCGTAGTAGATTTTTGTTGTAAGCACCTCAAAATTCTATGATACTGAACAGATACAAATTGCACTGATTTACCAACCGAGAACCATGTAATACAACCCGCAATTTACAGTTATCATTAATGGGTGCGTCTTGAACGCCTCGAGAGAATAATTGCAGTAATGGCGAATGATTTGAATGAAGTTTGCGCGTATATGAAGCAAATGGGTACCTGTTATCACAATCGCCGTTGTCTTTATGTTGAAAATGAAAAAAGGAGACGGCGTTTTTGTTATCCCGGAAGTTCTAATACATTTCTAACTCCAAAATTAGAGAGCGCTCGACCGCCTCATCGGGTCGCTTCCTTTTTTTGTGGTTAATCCGATTTATCCCACAGCATCCGTTCAAATAGCAAGTGCTATTTAATGTGGTCCAGCCTTTTAAAGGTGTGTTTTTGTAGCTTGAGATAACTACTTCTTTCCCCCCCATACATCCTCGGGTTACCGGTTTCCGAGCACTTAAGAACCAACCGCGATTTCGTACACATATCGGCAGAAAACTGTTGAAATTACGGATGACTGTCATAAATAAAAAAAAAACTATCAACATAAAACTGTATTTAAAAAAAAAGAACAAACAATTTTTAACAAATTTCTCCCGTCGGAGTAGCCGTCATAAGTTTCCGTGTGTCTATTTTGATTTAGTGTTTAAAGAAAGATAACTCGAATGACCTGCAGGAACAAAGATCGTCAAATAAATTATCACATTTTTTTTTTAATTTCACATTTTTTAATTGATTTTTCAAGATGTCAAATTGAACGAATTCATGTAATTTTATAGATTTATTTATTATATTTATTTAGTTATAGTATAGAATCTTTTAAAAAAAAAATCTGCAGTCTTATATCGGTTTTGGTTGATGGTAAGTTATTTCTCATTTTGTTCCGTTTAAAATTGGTGAAAATTGGAAGTTCATTGCATTAAAAGGTTTACGTTTCATTGAAAACACTGTTTATCGATATAAGAATGTCTCCTTGGCTCTTCGGAAGTGGAAAAAAATCGGCGAGGAGATACGACATTTTTGTACGTTCGTCAGACTACAAAAAAAGACTGTCACCTGTATTATGGAAATACATAACGCGCCGAAACTGATGACTAGACATATTTAGATCCCTTTAGTTTATAAGGCAGTACTGTCGTGAATTTGGTATGTGTTGTCACACACCGTCAAAACATCTAGTTGAGAACTGCTCTCAGGTCCCAAAATCTATTAGAATATGCGGAGGAAAATCACTCACGTGTGTTCAGGTTGAAGTCAGGATTAGATGTAGACCGCGCCGAGATGTCACATCAATGTTGTCGGCGCGGTTAGCGATCTAAGGGAGATAACTATCCCCAAAATTCACCACACTCTTCCCCATTTCATGAAGGCCCCCTCTTGAGGTTGGGAGCTGTTGATCAGGAATCATGGATGAGGTGGTCATTCTTGAGTATCAGATCCAGACCTGGTGTTGTTTAGGATGCTGGAGATGATTGTTCTCTGGTGGAGTTGGACAATGTTGGGTCACCCCTAAAGCATAAGAGACCCCTAGAAGAACACAGTTTCACCGTGCCTTCTAGTGGAAGTTCTGTTGAAGGGCTTAGCTTTACTGTGCCTTCCTCCAAGGTACAGGACCATTACAAATATAAACTTTATGGTTGGGCACAGGCATACCGTGCCCTTGCCAGGTAATCAGACATAGTATTTGGATACTATGTCTGAAGTTTCAAAAGTGCAAAAACACCCTCCACTTGTATGCTGACTGTGACAGGGCGTTGATAACACAATCGGTTGAGCAGAAAACCACTCTGTCTCTAGAGGCCCGGAGCGAGGCTGCCGGAGAGGCAGAGAACCGTCTTTGTCTGAACCTCCGTAATGTAAACAGACTTACATAGATCTAGAGCTACTTATTAAAAGCTGTCTCCCAACTGTACAATATGATTCCATTTACCTGGATCACAAAAATACACAGGGATTTTTACTGTCCTTGCTCTTATTCTTAAACCTAAGAACACAGCAATGCCGTGTAACTGATATACTATGAAACTATTGCCTAGTCACCACCCACACCAGTCTAGTCAACTTGTGGGGTGCTCTAGTCTGCCTAGCTTTGCCGGTGAGTACCCCACCCGAGTGGGTTACGGCGCTATCTGATTGATCCGCGACAGTCGAGCGACAGGGACCAGGCTCCGTAATGGCAGTTCCCCGTCCTTGGCAGAATGTCCCGAACATAGCCTCGGGGAGGGCTTCACTCAAACAGTTCCCTGGTCCCTGCGAACGCGTTCTTTCGCATTTGATATATTCAACTACCAGCGGCTTAGAAGATAGAACGACTTCGACATGTATTTTAAGTCTCTTTTTGCAGTTTAGTTCCGGTAGACGGGATAAGGAACGGGCATAGTCACAGATTACACCATCATTGACGAAATGGATCTGAAGGACACCCACTGTGTTTCCATACTTGTACTTTTGTCCTCCCTGAGCTAACCCAAACACCGCATGTTACTTCTGGTCATCAATTTCTTTCTTGTCGTTATCTGATGACGACACATTTGGTTTGATGGAGGGAATACAAGTTTCCGTTACCTCTTCCCTGTCAAATGGAAATGAGGCAGATTTTGGTGTTACCGCCTCATCTCCTTCAATTTTGAGCCCCATTGTTTATGCTTAAATGGTTGAGGACCAGGAATGTGGGCCTTGTATGTCAGTGATACCATACTGTCCATGTCCTCCTCAAACCGTTCACAGTTAGCTCCTGCCGGGTGACTGTTCAGTGGCTTTTCCAAGACCCGCACTGGCCTCTGGCCCTCCCTGGGAACTTCATCCATCTCATTATAGATAGGAGCAGCCATGGGAAGTTGAGGGATGGCCTCTATTGGCTCGGTAACATTGTTGTCCCCGTTGGTACTCTGGCCTTTCCCAGCAAATGTCTGCTGTATAACAGTTCCGGGCTTCTCTGTGGAGATGGGATTTCACCTCTGCATGTTCTTTAACTCCAATTTTCTGTCCTGCTGTCATTATGACGGACTTGGCAGTGTCATTCATCACTCTCATTATGGATTGTTGGGCACCGGGAAGCACTACCAAACCGGCAATCATGACTCCCCCAGGATGTTGTTTGGATTGAATTGTGGACGTAGCCCTATTAGGTCTAGCCCAGTCCACCGAACAGTGCCATAAAGTGTTTGGTGGTATTGTTACACTTTGGGCGACCTTGACAGTGGACGATGTCCTCTGCTCCTCCACCCGCGGTATAATAGGTATTACCTGGGCCGTTTTCGTTTAAACGGGCAAACCGGTCGGACCACTGTTGTTCGTCTATTAAATAAGGTCGGACCTAGTAATCTGATGCTGCTTTCAGGCGAGCCTTGACGAAGCTTTGCAAGGCCTGCATAAACGTTTGCAGGTCCGCCAGGATTTATACCCGAAATTGTTACATTTATAAACGGTCAAATCGGTTGTTCCGCATTAACAGGACGCCTGCATCTAAGTCGATGACAAAATTGTTCCTTGCCAGGAAGTCCACTCCCAACAACATGTCGGCCATGATGGGGGCCTCACATACGGTCCAATGTATATTTACCATACTATCTCTACATTGCCGGTAAAACCCCGGAGCCTCACTCGTTTCCCAAGCACTAGTGGCTCCTCGAGTTTATCTACCAGCTTCCGCTCAATTAGCGTCATAGTGGCCGCTGTATCCACGACAGCTTGAATTGGAGTTACTACTGCCACCTGAGACCGCCAGCTTCACCTCCCTCCAAGGTTGGACATCATTTCTAGGCGCGGGGGATGGAGACCTTGATCTCTCTGCCGTGCCTCTAAATGGTTCCGGGGACGCAGATGGAGACCTCGGATGGTACGCCTGGGTATTCCGTCCTTTGTCGTTACCCCAACTGGCGGCACTGTTGTTGCTTCTGACCAACTCCCAGAGGCCCCGGCTAGGTTGACCTTGACCTCGACCTGGTTACCCTGTGCGAGGTGACTCCCTTGATATCCAGGTGACCAGTTACGGTTTCGCGGGGGACCTTGTTCTGAGTATGGTGACCTATCTCGGCGTTGACCGTCATACCTATTACGCCCGTTGTCCTGGGGCGGACGAAGGTACTGAGCCCTAGCACGATAATCTGGTAGTTTCGAGGGGAACATCGGTCGCGTTTGTTTTCCACTGAGTTATGGCTTCTGATCACATCTCAAACTTGGCAATTTTAAATACCTTTCCATCTTAAGTGAATTAAAAGCTGCAGGACACCCTTTATATGCTAAAAGTATAAGATATTAATAGTTAATATTGTATATTATATGAATCATTATATGTGCCCAGCACCTATGGCTGAAGTGAGTTCCAGGTCCTGATATGTTTTCTGACTTATCAAAGTTAACTTACAAATAAAAGATGACATTAAACAGTAAAATGATTAGTTTAATGTATGGTGTTTGATTTGCTTGTAATTTTATGTCTCCTAGCCTCAAGTAAAGTATCTGTTTTAATCGTGAAATTTAACCGAATTCATTATTTTATCAATTGTTCTGCCTATTTCCAATGTTTATGCGCCGATTGTACATAAAAGGCATTTAGGGATAAGCATGCAACTTGGCATAGATATTAGTTACATGATGATATTTAGTTTGTGAAAGTTTCATACTTATCCAACAATGCCTGTTTACTTAAAAACACACTTTATCTTGTGTTTTAGAATACGAGGACTTAAGTGCATCTCCTTGCTCAACACCAAATATTTCCTTATAATACCAGTCTATATGAATGTATGTAGAATAAGGAGGCTCAGTGGAGTGTTTATAGCAGTCAGAGGTGCGTATGACATGCTAGACTGACCAAAAGCTAGTTATCTAATGCTTTTGAAAACTCAATAGTGGCTTAGTTGTTTGTTCAAGTTAATGCTTACGAGTAACTGCTTATTCTTTTGTTAATTTCATAGGTTTATCTGTTACATTCATTGCTACAGTAACTGCAACTCATATCATTTCTTAATTACTCTTCTTCCCTTTTTTGTTATATTACACTAACCATGCCACCGGTGTGTGTTTGTTGTAAAAAGAGGCACACTGCTAATATTTCAAAAATATATGATGAACAACTTTTGAACTATCTGAAAGAAAATGTGTCCAATGAGCTAAACATTGGTGACCCTGTATTGCAATGTTTGTAGAAAACCCTTTTATAAGTTGTAAGATATTCCTACCCCCCAGCCCGAAGTTATCGTTTCCACTGCAGTAAATGGCACTCAGCGTGTTCAAACTATAACTCTTCCAATTCCCCGCACATCAAAGCCTGAAACACACCGTTTCATATGCAATAAAGCGCGTGATGAAAAAACTCATTCTACACATGTTAGAGTATCTTCTGAATTGCGCGGCTATGTTTTTGAGCAAACAGGTATCTTCATACCATCTGCTGGTCGATGTTGTTCTAGATACATTCAGAATAACTCGATAGATGCAAGTGATCTGGATGGTTTGACTAGTGCAATGGACAATGTAGAGGTTGACCAAGAAGAATTTTTGTCTCTTCTTCAAGTTGTTCGGGGACAAGCCCTTAGAAAGACGGGACTTGATTTTGACATCAGTGATAATGATTATTACGCTCTAACAGGCATTGCAAAAGACCAGTTTGATGGTTTGACTGCCTTTATGATGAAAACTAGGAATACCTCTGTACGCAGTGTTTGAACAGCTCTAGCTCACTTGCTTATGAAGCTTCGAACAGGTCTAGCGTTGTCGGCATTTACAGCCACATGGTATGAACAAGGGAGATGTTGGTAAAGCTATTCACTCAGCTAGAGACGATTAAGTGGATAACTTTGTTCAAAAGTATCTAGGTCTTAATCATTTTGAACGCGAGACTGTAATCAAAGACCACACAACAACCTTAATTTGCCCGTCGTCTTTTCACAGACAATGCTAACTAATGATGTTGCCATGGTTGTCGTAGATGGTACATATATCTATATTGAAAAGAGTGGAAGGTATCATTTCCAACGACGTTCGTATAGTATGCACAGAGATAGACCTTTGGTGAAACCCATGATTTTAGTATCAACTGATGACTACATAATTTCTGTCTTTGGACCCTACCTTGCTGATGGTCAAAATAATGACGCCAACATTACCAAGCACATGCTTCTGACCAATGCTGAAGGTATCCAAACTTGGTTCCAAGGCAATGATATATTGATTGTTGACCGTGGTTTTCGTGATGTTACCGATATGTTAGAAGACTTAGGTATACATACCAAAATGCCTTACTTCCTCAGCAAAAGACAGAAGCAACATAGTACAGAAGAAGCAAACGAGTCTCGACTTGTTACAAAGGTCAGATGGGTGATTTAGTCGGTAAATGGCAGAATAAAAAATGGAGGGCACTGGCAAACACTATGCCGAACAGTCACATTCCTTTTATAGGAGACTATATATATATATGATTGTATGTGCCTTATGCAATGCTTTCAGACCACCACTGGCAACTTCATCACCCACATATGACATCACTGCTGAGAGAATGATATCTTTGTCAAAGGCCCCAAACTCACTAAAAACCAAAATCGAACGCAATGGCTGGGCACAGAAAAGAGTGATCTCGAAATCCCTTGATGACACTGATGTCCCTGAATTACCAGGGGAGGAACTGAGATACATCACAATGGGTGTGTACCAAATAAAGCAGGCCAACTTCTACACTGCTGAACACCTGTCAGAGCATGGTGGGTATGAGCTGATGTTGAGAAGAGCATGGAATTATTAACATTCAAATACAATCTCGTCACACCTCCTCACAAATATATAATGTTTGGGTGGAGTTCAGCATTGGTTTGATGCCCATTACCGGGTGGTACTGCCAATGCAAATTAAAGCTGGTACTCGGGCTGTAGGCTGTTGTGCCCATGTTGCATCTGTCCTCTGGTTTCTTGGCTACTATCGACACTTCCGTGAAACAAAACCCATTACTACCATGTCATCCGCATCTTACATGGAAAGTGTCAGTAATGCTGCTGTAATCGACACTTTGGATGAGTCCCAGTAATGCAACTTAGATAGCTGTAGATACATGTAAGTTGCAAAGAAGTCTTTCTCTGAGTAGGGAATATGTTACAAGGGTGGATAATAAATATATGTAACCCAGGTATAAGTATAAATCATGAACATGACTGGTATTCTTTCAAGCATTTTTTGTCATTAATGTAACTTTAATATTTTGTGTTGAGCAAGGAGATGCACTTAAGTCCTCGTATTCTAACACACAGGAAAAAAATCACAATATAACTAATATCTATGCCAAGTTGCATGATTATCACTAAATGCCTTTAATGTACAATCGGCGCATAAACATTGGAAATAGGCAGAACAATTGATAAAATAATGAATTCGGTTAAATTTCACGATTAAAACAGATACTTTACTTGAGACTAGGAGACTTAAAATTACCAGCAAATCAAACTCCATACATTAAATTAATCATTTTACTGTATTTTTTATAAGTCAGAAAACATATCAGGACCTGGAACTCACTTCAGCCATAGGTGCTGGGCACATATAATGATTCATATAATATACAATATTAACTATTAATATCTTATACTTATAGCATATAAAGGGTGTCCTGCAGCTTTAAATTCACTTAAGATGGAAAGGTATTTAAAATTGCCAAGTTTGAGATGTGATCAGAAGCCAAAGTATAAAACTAGAAAATGTCTGTTAGACATAAATGCCCCCACTGCCATATGAATAAGTTTCAGTGTTCTATAAAAAGTTACAACCACTTTGATCTTGATACCCTGAAACATGCACACACGCAAGGTACTACACTTAAAGTTAATGTTAATATGCATATGTTTTTTCTGTATGTTATTACCGACCTGAAACACAAGGATGTCAGAGGTATACCCATATTTGACCTTTATATAAAGTTTAACCAAAATCTGTGAAAGAATGAAGTTTTAAGTGTTTAAATTGAATCAGTTGATGATTTTCTATATATAGCAAGTGACCTTGGCCTTGACATTGGAACCCTGAAACACAGGGATGTCAGAGGTATACCCATACTTGACCTTTGTATAAAGTTTGACCAAAATCTGTGAAAGAATGAAGTTGCTAAGTGTTTAAATTGAATCAGTTGATGATTTCTATAAATAGCAACAGTGACCTTGGAACCCTAAACACAAGGATGTCAGGGGGTATACCCATATTTAATCTTTGTATAAAGTTTGACCAAAATCCGTGAAAGAATGAAGTTGCTAAGTGTTCAAATTGAATCAGTTGATGATTTTCTATATATAGCAACAGTGACCTTGGGCTTGGAACCGTGAAATACAACAATGTCTGAAGTATACTCATACCTGACCTTTGTATAAAGTTTGACCAAAATCCATGAAAGAATGAAGTTGGGATGGGAGGGGACGGGACGGACATGGGCAACACCATATACCCCCCTCCCAACCCAATTTAACGAGGGTTGTACCTTTGTATAAAGTTTGACCAAAATCTGTCAAAGAATGAAATTGCTAAGTGTTTACATTGAATCGGGACGCGATGCGACAGGACGGGTGTTTCGGAACGGGACGGGACGGGACGGACATGGGCAACACTATATGCCCCATCCCCCATTTTGTGGCAGGGGCATAACAAAAAGAAAGTGTGTAGTGAATATGCATTTTACTTACTTGTACTCAAAGGAGTCAATTTGTAAATTTCAACTCAAAATATAAATTAGAAAGGAAATTAGTGAGAAAACAAAACACTTTTCATTTGAAAATGACCAAAAATACCCCCCTGACTTAATCCTCCGTTTTATTTAAATAACCCTTAAGCGATGATTGAATATCTGTCATTTTTCATTCTTTTATTTATGTTGGTGTAATTAACACATATTTTCAAAAACAGAAATTGTATTATTTTGATTGTTTTAGTTCATTTTGAAAACAGCAAATTATATTTGTGATTTACCCTACCCCTTTTGGTACCCCTTAAAACCCATTTTCGGTCAAACTTTTACCTCAGTTTTTGCGCATGTGATACAATAGGACATCTTTGACCAAATTAAGGAGGTGAAAATCCGAATATACCTATAGGCCCAAAAAAGGGCCTTATAGACACTCACCCTGTGTCGTTACGTTTTGTATTTGTCTATCTTTACACGGCTGTTGGCACACACTATAATAACTGATCATGAAATGACACTAAAGTAGTGGTTACTTATATTAATAACTGTTTTTATCATATAACCGTTTTTGATGCAATAGCTTAAGGCCTGTCACCTTCCCATCTTGTTATCCTGAAGTGTATGATATTTTGAAATTATCCTTCACACAGATATGCACTTTAACAGCAATACCTTACATGCAAGTCACATATCCATTCTTTCCTGTATATAAGGGTTTGGAAAAAGGACTGGTTCTAAATTTTACCCCTTTCTACTGACTATATATATATGTTTTCTATGTATACCTGTCCGAGGTAAACCTTTATCAATCATTATCAAGATATACAGTCCTACATACAAATACTTTTGTGTGTAGCTATATAGTCACATGCAAGAAAAACAAATAAAACATACACAGATTCTGTCTTCATTACAAATTTAATAATCACAGAGTATGTACAAAGTCACTGGGGCGTATCACTCTGACATTGGATCAACAGTATCTAACCTTGACCTTCCCTGCAGATCGCACGCCAAAGAAATGCTGACATATATATATATTGTATGGCCTTATCAAGTTTTATACATACCTAAGAATCAGTGAAAATGCAGAAACTTGTACATCTTTAACTCTTCTTGCTGACGCAATTCATAAAACAAATTTGAGAAAAAATGTGCAAGGGAGCCAAAAAGTGAAATAAAAGGTTTCCTTTTATCAATACAACACTGCATCAACTGAATAAACTAATAAAATGTAAGTTTCACTGTATAATGTAAAAGTATGAGGCATAAGAACTTGCAAACCAGTCATTCAGTTACAATGTCCTAACAGGCATAATAATGTAAACAATAGACACTCAAAAAAAAGGAATAATAATGGCACGTTTGAATACAATATCAATATGTAATAACAATTATAGTCAAACTTTTAAACAAAAAATATGACAAGATGCAATATTTTTTGTTTATTCTAGACCAATAATTTAGTATTTAGGAGTTCTGTCATTATGAGCTAATTAAATACAAATACGAAGGGTTGACAAATATTCCCTATAGAGATGGGTTGTGGACTGTAAACATGATTTTTGAGTGCACGAAGTATTCTTATTCAAAATGTACATACTACATTTAATAGCCATCAGGCTATTGTAGTCTCACTAAACCCAATTTGTCACTTAATATCAAATGGTAAATGTATTCCAATATCTATTATAAATAAAAAGAATAAAAAATTAATCGCCTTGCAATGAAGGTGTGACCACTTGACACTGATGTCATGATCACATGACACTGAAGTTATGATCACATGACACTGATGTTATGATCACATGACACTGATGTTTTGATGACTTGACACTGATGCTATGATCACATGACCCTGATGCTATGATCACATGACACTGATGCTATGATCACTTGGCACTGATGTCATGATCACATGACACTGATGTCATGATCCCATGACACTGATGTTATGATTTCATGACACTGATGCTATGAGCACATGACCATGGTGTCATGATCACATGACACTGATGCTATGATCGCATGACACTGATGTTATGATCACATGACACTGATGTCATGATCACATGACACTGATGTTATGATCACATGACACTGATGTTTTGATCACATGACACTGATGCTATGATCACATGACACTGATGCTATGATCACATGACCCTGATGCATTGACGATAAAATGAAATAGTTGCGATGACCCTACAGCTATCCACTAACACATCTACAAAAATCAAAGAACAATTATTTGTTTTTATCATTACCAGTCAAAAAGATCACTATTGCACTAAAAATTGTAATGAAAATACCATGGTAAACCACAGCCAGCATTGAACTAAATATCCTCAAAAACACCAAAAAGAGAAATAGGAATAAAATTTAAAACTGTCTGTCATGATAATTTTTACTTTTTAAAAAATACATAATTAACAACATGTAAATGTATTGATAAAAGTTTCAGTTAATGGTAGTAAAATCCTATACCTTCTGTATAATAAATACAATATCTAATGTGAAAAATGAAAAACATCCACAAAATAACTGTATTCATTCAGAATCATTCTTGCAGACAACTTAAAAGTCATGAAAAACATAAGCAATAAATAGACTATTCAACATATCAATTAGAATAAGCTGTCCAGTGACTGAAAAACATTTTAATTAAAGGCGAAATGTTCCTTAATTGGAATTTACAAATTAAAAGATAATGCAGTTTGAAGTACCTGAGTTTAAAATTATAGATTTTGGCAGCAAACGTTCTGTGTGTGTGAATTTGTATCTTATCTATATATAGTGCATGCATTTAAAATACATGACTGGATCAATAAATCTTCTTTAGTGCAATAAGTGTCTGATGGAACCATTTTAAAACTTATTCCAATGGTTTAGAAACTATTTATGGAAAATTAAACACTTTTTCACATTTTAATGTTCTTAAATAGTTTCATTTGACCCAAAAGAGTGTTAAGATTTTTTTCATAAATATTGTTATTTCAGGGAAGTTTCATAAGAAATAGAGTAACACTGTGTTGCACTGTAAACATTTGTCCAGTGACATTTCAGCATTATGAAGGAGTTTGACAACAAGCCAAGAAAGCGCCATAATGGAATTATCAAGGAAAAAGGGAACTTAATTGACATTCATTGGTGGTTAGTGGGGTGGCAAATTATGTTGATAGCAGTTGGTATCAGCTTTCTACATACAATGGTTACAAGATACTCTTCTTTCCAGATTTGACCAGGTATAACATACGTACATGTCTGTCACATCATTGGGTAAGTATATGTATATTTCCACTAACCATCAATAATTTGATGTAACAATAATTGGCTGTAACCCAAATGTCAGTTGATACCCGTTTCTTGATGGCTGTAAAGTTTCATCCATATCCATACAAAATTACAGCTTATTAATGATGAACGTTAATTATCACTGGAAGTATACAAACCCTCCCTTATGTACATGTACTATGTGACCAGCAAATCACTTGCCTTTAGTCTATATCTTGTATTTCAGAAACAATGTATTCCTGTGTATTGGATGATGAAATATTTATGTTTATGTACATTTGCAATAAAAATGTTATATGTTAGAACAATAATGTTATAACTGTTTTCTGAACAAATATCACTTGATAATAAATAGTTCATTAATGTAAAAAAATGAGATATTTTTACTAATAATCAACCCAGGCTTGGTATTAAGTCTATTCCCTGTTTAGATGTTACTGATAGGAGTCATAAGAGGAGAAACATACCTTTCCCCTTAACCCTTTCACCACTGCAGACCATAATGGACTCATCCAGATCAATGCATGGTAGATTCTACTAAAGTTACATAGGGGTGAAAGGGTTATGGACAGTGACCTCCCCTAACTTCTGTTATGGCAACAACTGTAGCACAGCTGGACAATGGCTCTTCCGTCGACTAAGTAGCACAAACGGTCAGAGCGATAGTACTGTACATCAACCTGAAGTCAAGGGTTGGAATCTTTGTCTGGCACCCCTTAATTTATACACTCTGTCCACTGTGGTTGGTTGAACTTTGTTATTTCGTCCTGTAACATATGGTTTTCTAGGTACAGTTTTTGGTACTGGGATCCTTAAGAATACAATTAAGACTTTTTCGTGTTACCACTCCCTGCTTTAAACAAGGTCACCTGGACTTAACACAAGTAAAATGCACAATTTAACAATAAGTTTTAATTAAGACATAGTTCATTTAAATATTCATTTTAATACACAACATTTGCAGGATTTAATTGGCTAATTTCAATACAAAATTAGTCAATGAAATCAAAGCTGCCACAAGGAAATTTAGACAACATGAACACACATCATCTTGCCCTTTAAATGAATCACTTGGGTCATGCAACAACTGGATATCACCAGGTTTCAAGCTGCATGAAATTTAACTGCACTAAAACCTTTGTACTGTAATCAGGGTTTCAAATAATAGATGATTTAAATTATTTTATATATCTCAAATCATTTTTTCTTCCTAACTAAATGATGTCACATCCATTATCCTTTTTTAACTTGTTTCGAAATGTTAGTTTATAGTACCACGATACATGTTTATGGACCAGTGAAATCACATGACAGTAATATAACATGATCACATGACCAATTAAATGGTCACATGACAGATTTAGATGCACCACTTGGTTGACTGACATAGTAATGCATAAATAAGTAGTTAATAATAACCTGAATTGAAGATGTCAAGATGATCTCATAATACCTGTGACATAACATTAACCTGTATGTCGGTATTCACGTCACAATCCTTTAATATCGTCATTTGACAAAGAGAAAGCGATAAAACACGAGTGTAGTTGGCTATCAGTGATAAGCACCTGTTTAAGGACAACCTTTAATGATTTTACCATTGAAACGGATCATTCATTCAATAATCCTCCGACTCCATATACACATTGTACAACACACACACATCCCTTACATATTACCACAAAGTGATCATGCCATTTATAGGGAACTGTACATATGTTGTTATTATATATAACACTGTACATTATTTCTGACCTTTTATAGCTGTTATAGAAGACTGGTCACTTGGTCGTGAATAATAAATATGGCTTTAATAGATTATGATGAAAATTCGAAATGCTTTTCTCTCATGGTTTACTTGTTGAAAAGATTTATTAAGTTAGATTTTTTATGTCTATAATCGAGAAGTTTAACAACCAATATACCATGCTGTCGATCCCAACATTAACACTTTTCTGGTCTGGAGAGATCCCTTAATCCATGGGTGCCAGCATCGCTTGGTTTATTGGTCTAAGCCTATAGATCCCTTAATCCATGGGCGCATACGTACATAAAACAGTTCATTTGTCTGGCCCTGAGGGATTCCTTAATAAAAGGCCGGGTGCCAACATTACATGGTTATATTTGTCTGGCCGTGAAAGATCCCTTAACTCATGGGTGCCCTCATCAAACAGTTCATTTGTCTGGCCATGAGGGGTTCCTTAATAAAAGGGTGCCAACATCACATAGTTATATTTGTCAGGCCGTGAAAGATCCTTGACTCATGGGTGCCCGCATCAAACAGTTCATTTGTCTGGCCATGAGGGGTTCCTTAATAAAAGGGTGCCAACATCACATAGTTATATTTGTCTGGCCGTAAAAGATCCCTTAACCCATGGGTGCCCACATCACAGAGTGTATCGTCTGAGCCTGAAAGAACCCGTAATCCATATATGTCATCACATGGTTTACATTTCTGGCCCTGAAAGAGCACATCAAATGATATAAATGCTCTTTGCTGACAGGCCCTGAGAGGACCCTGAATTGTCCTGTATTTGTGTCCGCACCACACGAGCCTGATGCCGCATGGTGCTACTTTTCTCACGTGTCCACTGGGAGATAGGGAACATTTGCTTTCTGTTCTTTGCACTGATTGGAAGATTTAGCTTTAAATAAGCTTCTGTTGACCGACATGGCCATGGGTTGTGATACGTGACCACCACCCTCTCTGTGACGAACTAAAATACACGTCTCAGAATTATTTAGTCCATTTTCATGTGATGATTCCAAAAACTGAACCTGATCCTGAAACAAAAAATGTGACATTCATAAGTACAGTTGTGCAAGAACAATGAAAAAATAGGTCAAGATTTATTGAAGTGGAATTGTTTTTTTAACACCATAATTATCAAAAGTTACAATGGCTCTGTTTTCAGTTCGTTTTTTATTTACTGAATTAAAGCACTATACAGACACAGATTAATTTTGTTCTTTTACTGAATTAAAGCACTATAAAGACACAGAATAACTTTGTCCTTTTACTGAATTGAAGCACTATACTGACACAGATTAACAGAGTGTTTAAAATAGTTAATCTACTCCCACTTAACAAAGTTGTACAAAAAGACTAAAAGCAGTGATTTACTCAGAATCCAGAAAGATATATTTCTTTTATATAGCACCTGTATGATCACTTCACACTTACACAAACTGTGTAGGGTGAAGGAAAGAAGCGATCAGTCACGGTATACCAATGTATGACTGTATCAGGTGACCAGGTTTGGGTCCCTGCAGAATTGGGGCTCTTCATTTTTCTCAGACTTTTGCTTAGGGTACATCATCGAGACCAATATCGACCCATTGTACTGCAATATTGATCTTTATCTTTTCTGTTCTGCCATTAAAATCAGATATACCATACAGCATACTTACACGATGTTTATTAAAGCGAAAGATTCTCCACAGCCGGGAGGAAGTAGATGACACAGAGTTGATGGTCTCTGTACTCGTCTTTTGATACGTTGGGTTGGCAAAGTTGAGTGCCAAAAATTCCCCATTATCAACATTGTAAGCCCGTCTTTTACGTCTGAAATAAAGGAAATGTACACATTAGTCTTCAAAGCCAAGGGCTGTAAGATATATTTACACATTTTAACGTGTTAAATACCTAATACATTTTTGTTTTAATTTCAGATTTGGTATGCGAATAGCAAGTGTGAAGGTGATTGAAAAGAGTGATACATTGGAAAACTGAGCAAATGTATCAAAACCTACTGAAACTAAATAGTATTTTTTCATTAGAGAAGTTAATCATTTGTCAAATTTGTGTCAGATTCATGTATAGAAAATGTGTGTGAAAACATAAAATTCGAGAGATCACTTATATAAGAATTTTATAAGACAACACCAAACTTCTTTAGCACATATCAAATGTATATTAAAATCTCACATAGGTCATGATATGAAGAACAGACAACAATCAATCTGTGATTTTTTGGTTCTGTTAACAGGTCGGCATTACTTATCATTTGATTGGTGCACACATCCCGGTTATACCTACCTTTTGTAGATGTGACCAGCCACCACGATGACCATTATGGCCACTAGGACAATGACCACACCCACCACCAGAATCACCCATATACTGGACACTGAAACAGCTACCAGTCAACACAAGATCATTATCATGTCATCTTTTCATTTAAAATCATTTTAACATCATTTTAACATTCTTCTATGTCTGAATTATTTGTTCATTGTGACTGTGTCTCTCGTAAATCATTACAGAACCATTAATTATCTGACAAAGTGTCAGTGACCAACAGTTAATGTACCCATTATAACCAGATAAGGAATCTGTAACAGGGATCCTCACAGTAAAATGTGACGCTTACCTGGACTTGTTGCTGTCTCTAAAGGTGTCTGCTTATGATCATGATCACACAGACCACGCGTGACATCATCGTCAGAGCAGGACCTGTCAAAACACGACAATGTTTAACAGGTTTATTTCCAACAATTGTGTTTTCCATTATAAACTATGTCACCCTAGTAAAATACTAGCCGCTTCAAGCGGCTTCCTACCGACTTGGCTAGAGAGAAATCTCTTCAGCTCATTCGGTAGAGCGTAAGACTAGTAAGCCAGGGGTCCCCGGTTCAACTCCTAGTGGAGGCATTGAACAAATTATGACCTCTGTTACAATCATAATACTGTTACTGACGATGGTATCACTAAACCTGATATACACAGACAGGTAATGGTAAGAGGTAAACCAAATCGAGTTTTTCTAAGCTTGACAGAATAAAAAACCCTGCTTTACCCGTTTTGTCAGATGAGACCAAAACGATTCCACCAAATAAAATAAAATGAAAATTGCCACAATAGAAATCTTCACACTCTGCCACAATAGAAATCTTCACACTCTAAGTCATTTGGGCAATACTTTTATTTGAGAATAATAGATAAGAATACATTGAAATTTACCGGGAATTAACGGACACTTCAAAACACTGATCACAACATGTTAGCCATGTCTAACAAACACTGATCACAACATGTTAGCCATGTCTAACAAACACTGATTATTTATCTAGAGAGTATATCATTTATATCAAATACCACTAACAACAAAGTTAATTAAAGTTTCAAGCCAGTAACAATGTATACACGGACTGTACTCACTCTGCAGGCGGCTTGGTAACGTGAGGATCTGTATCTGGCTTGACATGGATGTTGACGGGATCTGTAACCAGTTAAACCAGTAAAGTATTATAATGGCTAAATACAAAAAAGTTTCCCTACCACATGCAGTCCATTGCATTGCCATTTTAGTACTTTGTGTTTTACAATGAACTATCATACCAAGCTACAGTGAAAAGGGCCCTGGGTAATGATAATATAACGGAGCTTTATACAAATCTTTTTTCAATTACAATACTGAAAGTTTAAACAGTCACAAAATTAAAACAGAAATTTGAAAAATGTACAAGAAGAATCATCCTTTTCAGCTAAATATCCAAATAGATGAACAGATAACCTCTCCCCAGCTTCCGAGGCGGTCAGATATGTATCGCTGGTACTACCTATACACTCATCCCCAGCTTCCGAGGCGGTCAGATATGTACCCCTGGTACTACCTATACATTCATCCCCAGCCTCCGAGGCGATCAGATATGTACCTCTGGTACTACTGTACCTATACACTCTTCCTCAGCTTCTGAGGGGGTCAGATATGTACCCCTGGTACTACCTATACATTCATCCCCAGCTTCCGAGGCAGTCAGATATGTACCCCTGGTACTACCTATACACTCATCCCCAGCTTCCAAGGCAGTCAGATATGTACCCCTGGTACTACCTACACATTCATCCCCAGCCTCCGAGGCAGTCAGATATGTACCCCTGGTACTACCTATACATTCATCCCCAGCTTCAAAGGCAGTCAGATATGTACCCCTGGTACTACCTATACATTCATCCCCAGCTTCCGAGGCAGTCAGATATGTACCCCTGGTACTACCTATACATTCATCCCCAGCTTCCGAGGCAGTCAGATATGTACCCCTGGTACTACCTATACATTCATCCCCAGCTTCCGAGGCAGTCAGATATGTACCCCTGGTACTACCTATACATTCATCCCCAGCTTCCGAGGCAGTCAGATATGTACCCCTGGTACTACCTATACATTCATCCCCAGCTTCCGAGGCAGTCAGATATGTACCCCTGGTACTACCTATACATTCATCCCCAGCTTCCGAGGCAGTCAGATATGTACCCCTGGTACTACCTATACATTCATCCCCAGCTTCCGAGGCAGTCAGATATGTACCCCTGGTACTACCTATACATTCATTCCCAGCCTCCGAGGCGGTCAGATATGTACCTCTGGTACTACTGTACCTAAACACTCATCCCCAGCTTCCGAGGCAGTCAGATATGTACCCCTGGTACTACCTATACATTCATTCCCAGCCTCCGAGGCGGTCAGATATGTACCTCTGGTACTACTGTACCTAAACACTCATCCCCAGCTTCCGAGGCAGTCAGATATGTACCCCTGGTACTACCTATACATTCATCCCCAGCCTCCGAGGCGGTCAGATATGTACCTCTGGTACTACTGTATCTAAACACTCATCCCCAGCTTCCGAGGCAGTCAGATATGTACCCCTGGTACTACCTATACATTCATCCCCAGCCTCCGAGGCGGTCAGATATGTACCTCTGGTACTACTGTACCTAAACACTCATCCCCAGCTTCCGAGGCAGTCAGATATGTACCCCTGGTACTACCTATACATTCATCCCCAGCCTCCGAGGCGGTCAGATATGTACCTCTGGTACTACTGTATCTAAACACTCATCCCCAGCTTCCGAGGCAGTCAGATATGTACCCCTGGTACTACCTATACATTCATCCCCAGCCTCCGAGGCGGTCAGATATGTACCTCTGGTACTACTGTACCTAAACACTCATCCCCAGCTTCCGAGGCAGTCAGATATGTACCCCTGGTACTACCTATACATTCATCCCCAGCTTCCGAGGCGGTCAGATATGTACCCCTGGTACTACCTATACATTCATCCCCAGCTTCCGAGGCAGTCAGATATGTACCCCTGGTACTACCTATACATTCATCCCCAGACTCCGAGGCGGTCAGATATGTACCCCTGGTACTACTGTACCTATACATTCATCCACAGCACCAGAAGATATGCGTTAGTTATGCAGAAGTTAGTCTTAAATCGATATAATGAAATATCTGCTCTATGAATTACCTTAAAATGTTTACTAAATTTTATAAAAATTGAAATATTGACACTACATTTTTTTTTTTTTTTTGATAAAATGAAAATTACTTACACATTAGACAGGCGATGCTGCCCTTTTTATCCGGACAAGCACAGGTGTACCCATACGGGTTGGCCAGACACAGGTGTGTACATCCACCATTGTTGTCGGAACAACCATTCTCACCTGTAAACATATCGATGCTGATTATCCAGAAAGCATCAGATTCATATTTACAAACAAAATATACTTGAACAAGAAATTTATATATACCCCAGCAAATTTTCATTAAATTTCTTTCGGAAATTATGATATAGTCATAATTTTGCTGCAATATCAATTATTGTCATGCAAAAGAATCATTACACAATATCTGTAGTCCTCTAGGACTCCTTTTCATACACACAACACATTAATGGAATGTCATTTCAATAAAAAGCAATTCTTTGATTTCCTATGGTATGTTAAAGCTAAGGGTAGAATTTCTTCATGCTAAATTACTGATACACGGTGTTACTGGTGGATTTTGTCTGTTTTAATTTTTGCACATTATATTCCTCACCCAGCACTTGTCCTACCCACATACCTGTCTGTCTGTCGTCTGCCACCACCTCTATATCCATGAGGCCCTCCAGACTCTGTTGTATGACCTCACGGTTCTTGCCGGTGTATTTGCTGGCTTTTTCGATCAGCTCGGTTTGCCAGTCGGTCCAGTATATGTGATCACCATACTGATAAACGATACAAAAATGAAATAAATTTGTATATATATAGTTATTATACTATTGAGACATTTACCAAATGGCTACTTGTCCATACAAATACCTGAACATCAGAGATATACTAACGTTACAAGTGAAGAAAGGAAGGAACATTAACAGTACATTTTTTCCAAATCTGGAATATAAAATATGGTTTTATCAAAGATACAAAAGGATTATTACTCACCACCACAAGCCCAAAAGGATGAGAGATGTGCTGTATGAGGGTCACTCTATTTCCCCCTGCGAGGTCTGAAGTCTCTATTTTGTCAAGTTTGGCGTCCACCCAGTACAGTCGGTTAGCAGAATAGTCAATAGACAAACCATTGGGGAAGCCTGCAACCAGACACAATTCTAGATTAACTGTTGGCAGTACAATTCGACAACAGATGGCATTACAAGACAGTCTCCGTTGAGAATTTTAAATGGTATAAACATTGACTTAAGGAGTCACAAATATAGTTAACTTGATGGTACTATTGACAAATAAGCTGTAAATCAAGACAATCAAACATAAAGTGTTACACTGTGAAAGGCCCATTACATGATGCATAGAAGAGCTAGCTAGGGCCTGTTCGTTTATGCGGAACAACCGGTTTGTCCATCTTTAAATTAACATTTTCGGATATAAATCCTGGCGGACCTGCAAATGTTTATGCAGGCCTTGCAAGGCTTTGTCAAGGCTCGCCTGAAAGCAGCATCAGATTACAAGGTCAGACCTTATTTAATAAACAAACAACTTTGGTCCAACCGGTTCAACCGTTTGAACAAAAACAGCCCTGGTTTTCTTGTTTCAAGACAGACAGTTGAAAATGAATAATTACCTAGACTGGATCGTATGATAACGGAGCGATTGGTACCGTCCATGAAAGCCTTCTCTATCTTAGGTTCAGCTCCCCAGTCAGTCCAATAGATCAGCCTGTCACAAGAAAAGTACTCCATGTCATATAGACCTAAACTTTATTCCATCATTATCATGGCATGGTATTTTGAGATTTCCAAAAACAGTAATTATAATACATAATAAAATAGTACAAGCCATATGCACTGCACCTCATAATGTCATGCTCACCAAGATGTCTTGGAGAAAACATAAACAAATCAATAATATCTAAATAACCTAAAACTAGTAAAAACTGGACATCTACATAGAAAATGTATAAAAGAAAAGCTATATGTTTTGGTGATATTACATAGTACACTGCAATTGTAAAAGGGGTAATAAATTTAAGTTAAAGTTAAATGTAATTGTAAATTACTTTCTTTTAACTTTTCCTGGAATGAGTAAAAATTAGGAAAGACTTATAAAATTCTGTATTTTAAAAAGTGGAATACACAGTTAAAATACAGTATAATGGTTACAATCAGAGAACCTGAACTTAATAAAAATAACCCTTTCACCACTGTAGACCATGATGGACTTATCCAGATCAATGAATGGTAGAGTCTACTGAAGTTATATACGGGTGAAGGGGTTAAACATGTAACATGAACCTGTGTAATAAATCAATATATTCAGATAGACTTTTTGTTGTGGTGGAGGTTGTTTTATAAATCTTACCCTTTACTGGGGAACAGTGCTATAGCACGAGGCTCATCCAGATTTTTGTAGATCAGTTTTTTTCTGTAGGTACCGTCGAGCCAAGCCACCTCTATAACATCCCTCCCTGTAATTAGCAGTGTTGATATCAAGTGTGAGAGGGAAACCAGTGAAATCTACAGTGATTCCATAATGTCGTAAACATTGACGTCATACTTAAGTCAACACTGATAGCCTACTGCATTCAAATTACATTCATTTCACGGGATACTATATAGTGTTAAATCATTTACAAGTAAAGATTATCACCATACCTGTATCTCAGGAAAACATATAGTATAGGAGTCGCCATTGATATATTGTCACATTTAATTTATAAGTAGAGTTGATCTTCTTCACATACATTTTTTTATTCACAAACAAGCTTACAAATACCTTAAATCTTTGTGAGTCACCTGTTCTGATTTTTACCTGTATCTGTCCAGAAAAGATTGCGGCCAATCCAATCAACAGCTAGTCCATCCGTTGTTTCTAAATTTTTGGATACAATGGTCTCTGACTCTGTACCATCTAAGTTAGAACGCCTGTAACAGTCACAAGTAGGGTATGACAATATGATACAAGATTGTCCTGCTGGGAGTCTTCAGCAGTATGTTTCAGTAAGGTAGCACTATAAAGTTGGCATCAGTTCCACGCTATCACAAGAAGACAAACACGAACATATCGCAGCCTCCCAAAACACACACGCATACACTACACGCATGCATCTTGCACACAGGGGAGGCCGTCCTTAAATGACCATAGCTGTTGATAGGACGTTAAACAATACTAAACCAAACCAAACCAAACTACATGTTTTCCAAAATAACACAATCAACTTTTAACTAAATGTGAAAAATAAAGTAATGTTAATGACTAGTTTTAATTGTCCTTTAATAGACAGACTAGTTTTAATTGTCCTTTAATATATAGACTAGTTTTATAAATTGCCCTTTAATATATATATATAGACTAGTTTTAATTGTCCTTTAATATATAGACTAGTTTTAATTGTCCTTTAAAAGACAGACTAGTTTTAATTGTCCTTAAATAGACAGGCTAGTTTTAATTGTCCTTTAATAGACAGGCTAGTTTTAATTGTCCTTTAGTAGATCTACTAGTTTTAATTGTCCTTTAATAGACAGACTAGTTTTAATGGTCCTTTAATAGACAGACTAGTTTTAATTGTCCTTTAATAGACAGACTAGTTTAATTGACTTTTAATAGACAGAAGGTTTTGTATTTTTTACCTGATGACGTCCAGGTGCACATCTGTGTAGTACATCTTGCTGTCATGTTTATCGTAATCCAAAGCGATCACATTGTGCAGATCCTTCATAGGAAGATACACATCTGTCAAGTCTGTGGTATCTAGGGAGATGTGTCGAATACTCCCTCGACTCGCAAACAGTAAATACTTGTTTGGCACTGTAAGATACACAATTAGGTTAAGTATACATACTTCCATACATTAATGACATTAATTATCATATACTTCAGAAATACTATTGGATTATAAATGGATGCAATGTCATCTTGTGCACCATTCAAATGAAGTTGCCTCTCAAAACATGTTATTTTACTGATCTTTTTTAGTATGAAATTCTCCTGGAAAGCACCGATGCCTTAGCGTACAGTAGTCACAGTAACGTAGCAGATGTATCCTTTAATGACATATTTACGTTATTGAGAGAAATAACTTCAACTTAAGAGTATCAATACCAGTATACATTTGATACAGGGGTATAAGACAGGAACAATTCAATGGCTAGATCAGGATTCGAACCTGGAATCAATGCACTCATTTAACTGAGCTCTCTAGTCATAGACTGGTGATAAATGTAATTCAGGCCAGCACACAACTACATTTTATTCATTTTTTTTCTGGTTCTGGTTTTTTAAGCTATCTGGTCACCACAAATGACATTGTTCAGTTTATGGATAATCTTTGTTTAAGTTGATCCTTTCTACCTGTGATACTTACTTGCATTACATGTTTTGCCATTCTCCATCATGAGCAGGCCTGTGGGACAGGCACATGAGAATCCCCGGGGGTTGGGGAGGCACAGATGGCTACAACCACCATTGTTTTTCCCACACTTGTTTACCACACCATTACCTAGTCAAGGTCAAAAGTTTATGAATTTAAAATAAGATGATTAAGATGTTACAAATTAAAATTAACTTCCATGAATAATAAGCTGTATTTCAACTTAGCTCATATTTCTAAGTTATTTTTTTTAATCATATAACCGGTATAAACATTTCAACAGGAAAGTCTAAAATTAAGTATAAGTAGGTTGACGGAGGTTAATGAGGGATATACTTATGACAATACAGGCATGTAAATAATAGGAATGTTAGCTACTAAGCCACACATAGACAGGTCTACTTAATTTGCATTAAGACTGTGTGCGTTTAAAAAGGGTCCCGACTGTTATATCATACTTTAGACTCTGGTTTCAGTAATGGTCCTGGTGTTTGTTTAGAATCCATTATTGTGTATGGTACTATTAAATATCTTTTTTCACTTTTGTTGTGGATCTATAGCCAACATTTAATAATTATAACATTCCCACGGTACTCAAGAACTTACTCACACCAAATTACACAATGGTCAACCCTTACACAATTAATCATGATACTACCTCCCACACTCAACATACAAGCGGCTCCATTACACTGTGAAAAAAAACCTACCTCCTCTCTTGAGCTGAACAGCATGAATGTCCATCAGGCCAGACATGTTCCTGCGTCGTATAGTCTGGTTCTGACCACTGTCCTTGTCTGCCTGGAAAATGGCCATCTTTAGCCAGTCTGTCCAGTAAAGATGATTTCCAGACACGGTCAGTCCATATGGGTGATTGATCTTGGATACCAGTACTCTCCTATTCTGCCCATGTAGATCTGTACTTTCGATCACCTAAACAGAAATAGGTAATATGGAGTCTATTTTAAGAAACTGGTGCCCAATGTTTAGAAAATATTTTACTGTATTAATGATAACAAATTTTGACTATACAGTTTATTTTAAGATGAAGGTAGAAAAAATAAAAATAAATAAATAAATAAATAAAAATGAAAGCTTACTTCCATCCTGGCATCAGCCCAAATAAGCCTGGCAGTTGGTCTATCTATGACCAGTCCGTTTGGCCAGCCCAGTCTGTCCTTGACAACAGTCACTCGGTTCTGACCATCCATATCTGCTCTTTCTATCTTAGGGTTCTTACCCCAGTCTGTCCAATACAGGAATCTGAACCGAGAAAACATAAATATGTAATTATTTTTGCAATGATCTCATTTAATGCTCTTCCATGCTGATTCAGCAAACAAAATGTATTATTATAGTAATAATTAACCCATCCTCTTAAACCACAGATGACTAAATAGCATATTTGAACAAACTTGGTAGCCCTTCATCCCAGCATGCTACAGGCCCAATATTTGTACCCTGGGCCTTTTGGTTATTGAGAAGAAGTCGTTTTAAGTTTTTAACATATTTGACCCCTGTGACCTTGAAAATGGGTCAAGGTCATTCATTTAAACAAACTTGGTAGCCCTTCATCCCAGCATGCTACTGGCCAAATACCATCAGCCTGGGCCTCTTGGTTATTCAGAAGAAGTTGTTTAAAGTAAAATATTGACACCGGACGGACGCCGCACCACAGCATAAGCTCACTTGGCCCTTTGGGCCAGGTGAGCTAAAAATATGGTATGTACTATATTGAGAATGGTTTCATACGACACATTTAAGGAAGCTTATAGCTGAATTGTCATCTTACCCAGCATCGTAGTGGAGAGTAATAGCCCGAGGCTTGTCTATATTCCTCCAAAACAGAACTTTCCTCATTGTACCATCAATATCGGCAACCTCGATCCTGTTGAGGCCAGTGTCAGTCCAGTATATCTTGCCCCCCACCTCGTCCACAGCCAGACCATCTGGTGTGTCAAGGCCATTTCGGATGACTTCCTCAACTTGTGACCCGTCAAGGTTGCCCCGCATGACCTTGTCCAGAACTGTGTCCGTCCAATACAGTTTTCCTTAAATTTGGAATTTGTCAAAATATAACGTCTCATTTTCATGAAAGATTTTATACCAAATGATACAAAGATAAAATTAATTTTAAATTGTCTGTTTGAAATATTAATCAAATTTGGATTTTTTTTTTAGAGAAATATTTTATAAACATTTGAATTTTTAACCCAAGTCTGTATCATGATCCTGGATCCTGCCCCTGGGTCAGGATAGAATGAAGTCTGAGACTTTCATAATCCTGAATACTGGTCCTGGGGTCAGGAAAGAATTTGACTTCAAAAGTCTAATTTTGAATAACTTCTATTATTATATTCAGGTTTAACTTACAATGTGATGTTAAACACACATGTACATGTGTACACATTGTCAACATGGATTTCTTCATCTGATTGAGAACAACTTTCAGGACAGATATTTAGTCGAAGACTGTCATGAGCCTAGGACTTGGTACCTATCATGACAGTGATTAGATACCAATATTACTTGAATTTTGTCACGTACCTCGAACTGAGTCCACATCTACTGCGATGGCATTCCTCAGTTCTCCAAGTGGGATCACGACATCTGCGAAGTATTCTACTTCCAGAGAGATTTTCCTGATGTCCGTGCGGCGTGCAAATATCAGGAAGTTTGTCATATCTGTAACAAATCCAAGGGAGATAACTTGTCATGATAACTGTATATCAGAATGACAAAAAGTTGAATATCTTTACATGTACCATAATTTGAATACTTTAGAATACAATGGAAAAAAAGGGAAATTAACATCAAACATCTAAAAAAAGATGAAGCAATAGCCAATTAAGTTACATTAATGAAAGTATGATTGCAAAAATCAATTCTGGACGAACCTCTATGTGATGAGCTTAATTTTTATATAAGAAATCAATGCCAGTTTAGTGTATGAAATTACCATCTTCGCATGTTTTTCCATCAGATTTCATTACTACACCAGTAGGACAAGCACAACTGTATCGCTGCGGCTCGGCGTTGTTCAGACAAAGATGACTGCAGCCTCCATTGTTCACCTGGCATGGTGTTTGTCCTGTCCAAATTACAAAATCCAACAGCATTATACAAACATATTCTAGTGCTTGTAGGACTATACAGGCCTCAGGAATCCGGTCACCATTTATCACTCTAGGTATCAAATTATTTTTTTCTATCAATTTTGGTTAATAATGTTCTATTTCAGTATAATTTCCATGATAAATGTGGATGTCCATTACATGTTTAATTTTACTATGAAGTGTCTGGGTGAAAATTACATGTGGCCACGACTTACGTTTCTGTTTGGGTTTGTGGAACATACGAACATCCATGACATGTCCAAGGTTACTACGGAGAGTCTGGCGTCCAGACCCGTCAAATTTGCTGGCCATGTGGATGCCCTTATCAATCCAGTCCGTCCAGTAAATCTGGTTATTATGGAGTGCTAGACCAAAGGGACGTGGTAAGTCCACAGCAATAATCACCTAGAGAACAGAGCACATGAGTCAGCTGAATGAGACGTTGACACACAACATACTGGGCTTTTGAAATACATGTATCCATGTAATAGATGTTAGTCAAATGAACATGCCTCAGCAATAAGTTAATTAAGCTACAATGAAGTAACAAACCATTATTCTCTAATATCAACAATATTTATAGTGCTGTTAAAACTCTTATGTTAGTTATATAATTTTGATATTAACTAAACAACTTGCACAAATTGTCAAATACTGTCAACTGTTGATTTGATTATCGTATGGTATGGGGCCATTGACTATCAAACAATTATTGATAATGTGCAGCTTTTCTTTATGGAGCTTTTCTTTATCACACAAAGCCTACAGGTGTCGTAAGATTTTGATTTTTTTGTCTTTTGATCTACAGACATCAGGAATAATCGATGGTGTTGGAATAATTGAATAAGTGGCGTTCTTTTGTAATATTGGTTTAAGATATTTGACTCAAATCTTGTTCCAATAATATGTTAGTAAACTAACCTGTCGTTCCAGTCCCTCCGTCGTGGCCGATTCAATCATTTTGCGACCAGCATCTGTCCAATAGATTCTGTTTCTCTTCTGGTCAAGAGCCAAACCGTTAGGCCATGTCAGGTTGCTGCTAATCAGAGCATGACGTCCTTTGCCGTCCATGCCCGCCTTCTCTATTTTGGCATTCTTACCCCAATCAGTCCAGTACATAAACCTGAACAAAGTGTAGTGATGTTAGGGTACTAATAATATGTACTTTACTAGTAGTTTGCATCTCTGCAATACATACCACACCATATACAAGTGTGTGTATCAACATTGATCATGAACATTTCTCAAGTTTACTGATCATGAACAGCATACTTGCCAACTCTCCCTAACTTTGGACCCCAAAATTGAGCATTTTCAACTAATGAATTTTCTAAACTATTCCTATTTCTAAGATCTGATGATTTCATCTGAAAGAACAACTCGAAAGATGCCACTCGAAAGTTTTTACATACACACATTTATTTATGCTTTTAATTCCTAGCATGCCTAATCATGGAAATTTTGAAAAAGTTGGCAAATTAATGAACAGGTCACAGTACTGTTAATGCTTACATCAATGGCAAATGTCTTACAAAATATTTAATTGTTCTTTAAAACTTAATTCTAAAACACCTACCCTTTGTTAGGGTCAACAATGATGTCCCGAGGTTGGTCAAGACGCTCCCAAATGAGGATACTCCGGACAGTGCCATTGAGGTTGGACACTTCAATGACATCCAGTTCTGAGTCTGTCCAGTACATCTTCCGGCCAAGCCAGTCGACAGCCAGTCCAGTGGGGAACTCCAGGCAGTTACCAACTACCACCTGCACAGAGTGAGAAATTAGAAATTATTTTGTCACCGTCTTATCAGTCATTTACTATTTGTTTTTTCTTTTTGATATTATGTGTAAAATATTAACAGCTTATCATAGCCCGACAACATTTAATATAAACTAGGGCTACATGCACTGGTGGACCCTTACCGTGTATTTTTTTCATTTTTTCGTTTAATTTTCAAAAATCGTTTAGTTGTTCTCTTTTTGTGTGTATTTTTTGGATTATAGTTTATATTTGACGAGTCACCGTTTATTGTTTAAACCGACGTTTATTCTTCGCAGACTTGTGTTTAGTTTTGAGTATAACAGTTTGTTTT